ATGTCTTCTGAATGGTATAGGACTTGGATCCTAATAGGTAACTTTATTCTATCATGACTGATGAAAATCACTTTTACCTGATTTACAGAAGAAAGCTTGGGCACAAAGAATCAGAATGACCAACTCAAAGTGATTAACTCTAATTACAGATTTGATTCTGTAATTTAAAGAATTCCTTTACTGTGGGGGCTGGAGAGATGGCTCAGAGGCTAAGAGCACTAACTGCTCTTCCAGAGATCCTGAATTCAATTCCCAGCAACCACATGGTGGCTCACAGCCATCTGTAATGAGATCTGGTGTTCTCTTCTGGCCAGCTAGTATACAGACAGACAGAACACTGTATACATAATAAATAAATCTTTAGGAAAAAAAAGAATTCGTTTACTGTATTTGTCACTGTATGACTCCATAGAAAATTAGAAAGATCTTTGCATAAAAGCAAGGTAACTTTTTTATAGTTTCCTATTTATAGATACATGGAATTTTAACATATTAACTCTGGCAGACTAGAACATTTTACTTCTTAGCAAATAAGCAGACTATGCTGGCTGTCCAAAGATCACTAAACAAATGCCCTTTCTAAGAAGTTGCCTCCCTTATTCTGAGAGCGGAACTACTTCTGGGAATGTGCTAGATAAGATAAATGACATGCTGCAAACACAGTTTAATCTTTGGATCCGAGCTCACAGTTTCGCAGTTAACATTTGGTGGTTATTTAAAGCACTCTTTAACATACACAGCCCAGGATTTATTTAGGTCACTATAGATAGGTGCTATGTTTCACGGTCTTTCTCATAGAAAGAAAAGTCATGTGTTTTGACATTAAGTCTAAGTGTGAATTCTACCATTGTAAATTACCTGCCCTTAGTTTCCTCATTTATGGAATGAGGGTGCTGTACAGGCTTATTGATAGGCATAGGCCTGCTATAGAATGAATTGTCATAAACTATTCTTTCCTCTGCTTTATCATCTTGTTCACTGCATTTACATAGAAGAAAGACTAGAGACTGGGTAATAAAGCCATCCACTTGGAGTAATACATCTATATGCACTGCTCTTCTACAATTTTTGTTCTTATTTTAGACGTAACTATTCCATGCCAGTTTGCTTTATTATAGATAAAGCAAGTTACTTCTCGCAACATTTGAAAAAGTGAATGAAATCTTTATGCCCTCTTATCTTCTCATTGAAGCTGCATGTTCTTGGTCATGACCACTTGCTAAAGAATAAGGACACCTGGGAAGAAAAGCAGCCATTTGGAGCCAGCGGGGGTGAATTAGGATGCCATGAAAAGCCACACTACCTATTGTAGCGTAGTTACTTTTAAGTGACTTCTGCTTTTTCTGTGACTAGAACTATAATTAGCTTTTTTTGTACATTAAATTTAGGGCTAAGCATGTAGCTTGGTAATTCTTATCTTTCCACAGTCCTATATTTTTGTTCATTGCTTCTGTGTCTAGAACTTTCAACTTGTTGGTAAATGCTAATCAAAAGTTTTTCCCCTAAAAGACTGTCCATAATTGGAAATTACCCTTTGTATTTATTTTGCACTTCGAGTTTTTAATAATAACTTGAACAAGAAGATTCTGGGCTCTTCATTTTCTCCATATTTCTGGCAATAATTATGAAACTTGGTTTAACGGACTTAAGTTTGAGTGTGTGTGTGTGTGTGTGTGTGTATCATGCACCACGCCCTAATCCAAAACACATGGTTTATTCTTACATTACATTTATTCAGACACTACACTTAAGGGTATCTAGTTGTATAACAGGTAATTAAACTATATTAACATATTGCAAAAGAAACATACTATTTCCTTGAGTAGCTTAAAATTTGAAACTTATTAAACATCAAAATATGATATGGTAGATGTAATAAAAGAAATCAAAGTATAATCACTAGATGAAGAAAAATTGAAGGCAGAAATATTCTGCTTCATTGATCAGTTGTAATTTTAAGGAAAGTGTATCTCTGGGCTGAACACCATTACCTTTGGGAACTATACTAAGGACAACAGTATTAGTATCATCATTAAAAATCTAGCTATTTAAATGGTGGTTCCCAAAACAAAAGTTTCTATCAGAATCACCCAGAGGGGTTATTAAGATTATTAACTGTCCTTGTTCTGGGAGTATCTAATTCTGGGGCAGATCCAGATATATTCATTTCTAGCAAGTTCTCAGGTAGTGTTGCTGCATCTGGTTAAAAGGAACTTCACTTTGAAAACTAGTTTTTCTAAATTCAAAGAATTTTAATGGGTTCCTAATACAAGCCATTAGTTTTTGTAATCAGATTATTGTCATCTCTAATGAATGTCAGAATGTATTTGAGCTCTTATGTATCCGGCATTCTTCTTCTCTGAAGATAATAGAACTTCCTCAATAAGCTTAATCCAATAGAATCAACCATATTAATAGAATAGGAAAAGTAATCACTACCTTGTATTGATCATTCAGTGTGCCAGGAACTATGCCAGATAGTATTTAAACTCATTTACTCTTAAGAGGATTAGAACATACAATGCTTATTTGAGGTGAAAAAAATAAATAAGGTATAGAAACTAATTTCCCGGGATTCCCGTGAATATATTGAGGAGCTAGAATTTGCTATAGTGTTCTAGTACCTTCTACACTACCTAAAATTAAAAGTATGCATATTCCAGGACCAGAGTAGGGATAGAATAATGGACTTTACTCTAGGACAGCAAAAGATACCACAAAAGAGATGGCCCCGAGGGCTTTAAAGGACAAGTTTAAGCCACGTTATTTCGAACTACAGATATCTCCATGTGGGGGAGCAGTTTCTGAAAAGCCAAGGAAACCTGGAAAAAAAAACAATGTAACAGATTACAAATATTACATAATATTACATAAGACCAAAATACATTTTTTTTAAAAAAGGGTGAGAAACTGTAGAGCAAAGGTCAAAGTCATGAAGAATAACGCCACTGGGGAGCAAGAGGCCAGCTAGGGGACATTTTGATATACCCTGTATTAAAAAAACATAGAATTAGGGTTTTGATTGTGGGTTTGGGTTTTGTTTTGTTTTGTTTTGTTTCTCCTGTAACTCTCATCCACTGTAAGCCAGTGGGTCTCAGAACAGGTCAGGCAACAGAGAAGCAGCATTTTCTGGGCACTTGTTAGAAGTTCCGTTAGAGCCCAGCAATCTGTTCTTCCTAGTCCTCTATGACTGGTGCATACTATTTTGAGAATCCTATAATTGGTATTGAATTTTTTATTATTATTGAAATAGTGGTAATTGTATCTATGACTTATCTGTTAGAGTACTATGCACAACAGAATTGAAATGTTAATACCTGAGAATACTTTTCTTCAGCATGGTCCTTCTATTGCTTGAAAAGCCATTATCTTCTGTTTCTGTAGGGCGCAGAGTCCAGACAGGGGTTTGATAAGTCAGCATTCAAGGTGTAGCATTCTCATTAGTCCTTAACTGTAGTAATAACTTGGAAATTTATTGACTAATCTTAATTAATTAACAAGAAAAGGAAGTAAAAAAACTGTAATTTTAAAACTGTCAATGTATAAAACTGGTATTATAGTTAACGCTTTTAAGTACTTTATTTAAACCATGTATATCAAAGGAATAGGATGTATTCACACCATGAAATGACTGAAAGTAACTCCTTGGTTGAAGTACTATTTGTGATGATAGTTTATTATTTTTATTTTACACTAAAGCCTATAGATTTTATATATATGTACCTATATGTGTATATATATATACCTGTCTGTGTGTGTGTACATACAGTTGGTTAGTAATTTAGTTACATGTAATCTTACTTTGTACATATCTCCCCAGGAACTGAAATTCCAGCTTATAGTTTTGAGATCTCAAGTATACAGAGCCCTTTCATCTTAGCAGCAGCAAATAGTTAAGAAGTACACTATGACATTATTGCTAGTGCTCAGTTCACATTGGGCATTTTCTGTATGTTGGCTGCAAGTCAGTGCAACTTAGATACTGACCCCATTCATTTTACAGGTGTGGGAACATTAAATGAGTGAGTGAGTGAGTAGCAGAACCTGGCACAATAGCCAGACCTATGTGGATTATAATCTAAAAGACACAACTCTATGGAAAAGAGTGTTTTCTAAGCTTCAACCTGGCAGAATACAGCCCATACCACTCAAAGTAAAGTAGTCTTAACTTACTATAAATACCAAATTTTTCTTGGGTATAATATATTCTGTAAATAGTACTTAGTAATGTTTTATTCATAAATTATTTTTAAAGACCTTTTTAGTGTTGATTCAAGGAAGAACCAGACTTTCTTTTACTAGTTTAAAACAAAAACTGTTTCTGTCTTTCAAAAATCTATTAAAATATATACAAGAGTATATAGATTCTTGCTACTTTTACTACTTAAAAAAAATGGATGAATATAAACCATAGAGAACAATTATTTAATCTTCTGTATCATTATATAAATGCTAGGTAGTATTTGAACTTGTGGTGTATACTTAGTAGTTAGACAACTTTGAATTATTCTCAGGAAAAACATACGCCTTCAGTAACCTATAATCAAAGTACATACATAGGTCTACCAGAATGTTGAGTTCCATTTTAACCAGCCCTTCCAAAATCCTCTGAATTCTTTTTAGAAACCCTTTCTACACACTTAAAAACCAGGTGTTAAAATATAAAATTAATAGAAAAAAGTCTTCATCTGAATTTTAATGTCTTAATACCAGCAAAGAGAAAACTCATAATTAACATTGGGAGTAAGTTTTAAAGTGGCAGATGTTTATCATAACCAAATGATAAATAAATGTTTTTAAAAGTCAGCCATGTACCAAACCCTCATGTAGAAAAGTTAAACCCCTGAGTACTAAACTGCAAGAAAAGACTTGATAATTTATTTTTGAATTATCACATTTGGTAGTGGGTAAAACACAAATGTCTTTTGTGTTATTTTAAGAGTTGGAAGGATGGTTAAATTTTTAAGGGTAATTTAATGAAATATTCTAATTTTTTCCAGTGCATCTGGGGGCGGTGTTGTAGCCATTGACAACAAAATAGAACAAGCAATGGTAAGTAGGCTCACAGCTCTCCTCTCACTTCACGGTTGCACATTCTGACTGTTTGGAGTGTCTCGGGTCCAGATAACAGAAACCTATTTTCTTCAAGCCAAAAGTTACCTTTTTGATAGCAAGATTTAGAAGTTGCTAGAACATTGAAAATTTCGAGTCCCCGTGTACTGATTGAGTAAATAGTTCTTATATCTGATCACATCATATGTTGTGTGTCACTGTGGAACAGGAACATACATAATTCAGTACAGTGTGTGTTCATCTGAAAACCATCAGCCTTTGGCCATTGAAAGTGGGGACTATGTGGCACTTCTGTCTCTATAATATAACCCTGTGGCCAGTTTATCTGCAAGCAGCTTTCCGTTGGAATAGTACTTACTCCTCTGTTGTCTTTGTCCAGCATCTTAAAATGCTCATTCTAAACTCTGGGAGAAGGAGCACTTTCTATACTAGTTGGGAAAGAGACTTTTTCTACCCCATCTTCCATAGGCCCAGTCAGGATATAGCAGAAACATTAAAAGCATGAGGAGAAATTTGCTTTTAAAAAACAAAATGTATAAAGCACTTAGTGTTTGTAAGGCACCCAGACAATCTAGAACTAAGTAGCTTCTTGTTTCTCATAACTCTTTTGACATTCCTAATTTTTTTCCCCACAGGATCTGGTGAAAAGCCATTTGATGTATGCAGTAAGAGAAGAAGTGGAAGTTCTAAAGGAGCAAATAAAAGAATTAGTGGAAAGAAACTCTTTACTTGAACGAGAAAATGCACTGTTAAAATCTCTTTCAAACAATGATCAGTTGTCCCAACTCCCAGCCCAACAGGCCAATCCTGGTAGCACTTCTCAACAACAAGCAATGATAGCACAGCCTCCTCAGCCAACGCAACCTCCACAGCAGCCGAATGTCTCCTCAGCATAAAGCTTTCTTAAGCCTCATTAAGGAAAAACTGAAAGCAATCTTTCCTTGTGTGCCACTGGTGTTCTTTCCACTTTCTAGAAAGCAAGTAGCCATTGCTTCGGCTGTGTGCTTGGCCTTTTCAGTATTAGACAATCGTTCTACAGGAGCTTTCCCTCTCTGAGATGTCATGCAGCACTGTTGATGTCCACTTCTGTCATCAGGACATGAGGAGAATAATAGACGGGGTTTATTAAAGCAAGCAGAGTCTACATTCTACATGTGCGCATGAGTGGGATCTTTAGAAGTTTTGGTGGCTCTCCCATGTTCCTTATCACCCGTGGGTTTACCTTGAGCCTTCCTGTCACATTATATATAACAGTTCATCTAAAGAGCCACTTTTCTTTCAATATCAGTAACATTTGCCTACGTAAGTTTTCATTTATTTTATGTTTTATTTATTACAGGGCTGCTATTTTCATAATGTACATGAACAATGTCACAGAACTTTTTTAATTTTTTGGATAATTATAAGTATCAGTAAAGGAATTGAAAGACAGGATTACATTTAATAAAATGTTTAGGCAATAATTGAACAAAAGAATCCTGGCACATTTCTAACACTAATGGCAATTTACCGTTGGTATTTATTTTCAATAGTAAAGATCCAGCTTGAATGTAAATTTTGTATAGTGTAAGTATGAAAAACACAGTGCACCTGTGACTGTATACAGGTAGTCACCAGTTATTGTGATATAATAAATAATTGGGCTATTTTCATGAAGAAAACTTTGTTCATTTGTTTCTACTTTCTAATAGAAATTGCCATGATTCCTCTGCTTTTCAACATTTCGTATGACTTTTTTTTTTTTTTTTTGGGTGGGAATAAAAAAGCTGTGAAATTGTTCAACCTACTTTGTAACCAAAGAAGCAAAGCTGTGTAATGGAGTTTTGTTTTGTTTTATAATGCACATTCTTTATGTATTTTTATTTAGTGTTTTCTTGGTCACAATTTTCTTTGCTGTCTAGCATGATCTGCATGGCCTGTAATCTTTGAACCACTTTCGTACCTCATGTTTTATCCAGCACTCTTATTGTACTGTGTACTAGTCTGTGAACAATGTCAAATAAAAAGAACGAACAGGTCGTATGGTGGAGCTGAGCTAGTGTACAATGCACCAGTTGTACAAAAACAAAAATGAAGTGAGCCATCTTTTGTTCATTTAAAATGGTGTTTTGAATTTCATATGCAGAAAACGTTTTGTTACATTGCAGATTTTAATGTATTTAATAAATGCAACATGCAGATTAAGTGCAGTGTATACTGAGTATTTAAATTAAAATGTACATTTCATAAATACAGTTTCAAGAGAAAGCATCATTTTGTGTATACTAACACATTAAGTGTATGTCAGAAATTGATGTAAAAATATATATTTTAACACATTTTCTGAAATTAAACTGCAGTTTTGTTCAAATATTTGGCTCTATATGTGTTCAGAATTTGACTAGATTTGTATTTTCACAGTTTAAAATAATTCCTTAAATGAAAACCCATGATGTTATTAATGACAATGATAGTTCTTAAATTTTCAAAGTAAAATAATTTAAAGAACATGAGAATGGTGAGCAATATTTGTACTCAATATTCATATTATGTTAACAATATAAATAGAAAATCCTCGTCTACCAAAACTTTTACTTGAATTCAGAAAGGTGCCTGTAGAAATTAACATGTCCTGTATGGGTAGCCCACTAACTAATTCATTCTTAATGAGAAACAGTAGTTAGGTCTCCACGCTAGAAGAGATCAAATGTTCTTTATCTATTTGAATCATTCTAGCCTCAAATGAAAGTCATAAAATCGAAACACGTGAAATTACCAAATATTTTATATTCTAGTGCTATGGGAAATAATGCTCAGTAAGCAAATTTTTCATGTTGATTAGTAACATTAGAAATACTTAAGAGAAAGAGCTAGATAAGTATGTAGACTTGAGTAAGTAAGAACTCTTAAGGCTGCAGAGTGAGATTCTAGTAGAGCCACCATGGGCACAGGAGGATGTGAACCTGCTGTTGGAATGTGAGCCCTAAGATTACCTTGGTGCCCTTCCAATGCTAACAGTGAGGGACCTCACACAGTGAAGAGCTAGAAAAGGGTTGCAGGAGAACACAGATAAATGGCAGACTGCTGCCTAAGAATGCACAAGATCTCTTTGATGCCTGGCACGGGAAAAAAGAAAAATTTAGTGTGATTTTTGTGAAGCTAAGAAGTGAGTTTTTATTCTAGAGATAGAAAAGCATTTTATAAACAAAATGTAATAGTAGTCACCAAGGAAATGATTAATATTTTATGGTTTAAAATGGTAACAACAGTTGCCACTACTTCTATTCTTTAAAAGGGGGAGTCTTAGAAAATAGTTAAAAACAAATAAAATTGGTTCCAAAAGGCTTAATCTCTAGTATACTAAGAAATGTAATCAGTTATGTCATCTTTTAAATAGCAGGAGTTAGTGTAGTTCGTAAGATGGGCTTTCCTATGTTCTCCAGGATGAAATTTGGCAATGTCTATTAGGAGCTTTAATATGAATAAGCTAGCTCAGTAGCATGATGCTTAACTCGAGGTGCAGTGTTTAAAAAACGCAAGTGTGTGCCTGTCCTGTGTGTTCACTCCTTCCCTTAGAACTCAGAAGTTTTATTGATCACCTACTCTGCCCCTTAAGATTGTCAGTGAAGTTTACATCTAAATCCGATCCCATTTCCATGAGGCACATTGCACTGCAGAGTCAGGAACAAATGTGGGCAGGGTATTTGTGCTTTTGTTAGGAAATAATCGAATTTTAATTTCTCCCTAATTGGTTTGTTTGGGATCTTCATTTAGATCTCTGTTGGGGTTAGAGTCTCCAAATACATAGAATATCAGCTAGTTGAAATTCCAGTGTAGGGGCAAGTCTTAAAGGAATATCATCCACCTTTGGTTTTCTCAGTCTCAGCCTACAGAACAGGTGCTACTACAGAAACTGTGTTGGCTTAGTTTTCTGATACGACCGTGCATGTACAATTGGAACCTAACTTTGCACAAAGAAAATTAATTTTTAAGTAGTTCTAATATAATCTTGAAATGCATCCAATCAAACAAAACTGTGTGAAGAGTTGGAGAACTAACTGTTAGATGAAACTGTTTGGCCCTGGTGACAAGTCCCATATGATAGATACGTTTAAATTCTCTTCAGAGAATTCTGTTAAAGGAGAAAACCCTATCCTCGGAATTCACAACTGAGACTACACAAACCAACCAATACAATGATCCGAGAAATACAGTCAAGGATGGATTGTTTTGCCCAGGGCTTTCCTGAAATGTGGCGCCTGAGTCTTGAAGGTCCCAAGAGACAAGAGGAAGAAGGGCATTCCAAACCCAAGAAAAGCCTGCTGAAAGCTCCAAGGACATAAACAGGGCTCCTAAAAAGCACAGGATTTATGGGAGAGACCAGAAGTAATTGCCCCATCCATGTTGGTAGTTTGAAAGTGTTGACAAGAATGACTGCTTTGATGATGGCCAGTGGGATGTGCTCAGTTCAGTCCAATGGTAGAGTGGCTGACGGGAACTGGAGACAATTTAGAAAAAATAATCGAGAAAATGAGAGCATTCCGTGGGCAAATTACCCGACGTTTATTGAAGTTGAAAATTCCTCTACCCCTTTTCTATGAATATTCCACTCTCAGTATCGGCACTTTGTTCTCTTTTGTTTCTTTGAGGAAGCAACACCTCAGCCAATACTTGAAAGTTTGTCAGTCTTACGTCCAGGAGCCCTGCATCTCTGCAACACTAACAATGTCTTTGCTTCCCGTTGAAGGAATTGCGAGAATTTAACAGGAAAATGAGGCAGACAGGAATTTGGTCACTCTGTGCCTCTGTAAATTCAGCGCAGTGGTAAACAATTAAATACTCCGGTGAGTGGGATCACCATAATTCTACAGCCTCTTGCTCCCTGAAGAGGTAGTCTGAGTTCTGACTCTGGTGCAGGTACAGACTTGTAAGGATAGGTTTTACTTAGCTTTGCCTTTCATTCTCTACATAGGTCAGACCCACAGCCTTCTCACCCACACTCGGGTTTTCCTGCCCCCTGCTGTCAGCCCCCTAAGTAATTCGTGTTTCTGTTTTCTAATGCTAATCACCTCTGGTGTTTACTTGCACCCGTTGACAAGCTGACATTCCAAGGTACATCTCTGTCTCATATTTCCATATCAGGTTACGAATTTCTCCATCTAAATCTCTTCCAATGCACATCTTCTCTGGTTAAGTGAAGGATAATGCAAGTGTGCCCTTAGTGGGCTATCATTGGTCTGCCAAGTTCAAATGTAGAAATTGCTTTTAAAAAGTACTATAGAAAGCAATGTAAAGTTCACAGACCTGTACTTTTTCTTTCCTCTATGTTTTAATGGATTTGTCAAAAAAAAGAAAAAATCGGCTGTCTTTTAGAATTGGCGATTGGTGATGGCTAAATAGCTGTTACTTGGCACTGGCACCGTCCACTTGGACACTGAATCTGTCCAACATGATTGGATAGTGAGTGAGCTTTAGTTTTTTTTTTTTTTTTCTTCTCAGGGGAACTGATAAAGTAGGCAGTTTGGAGTATTTTCTGACCACCTAGTGTCCTGGATCCCTGTGTTTACTGACCAGGACCTGCCCACAGAAGCCATAATGTTCCTCTGATAGAAGGAAGGAAAGGAGATGTGCTGACTTTAGAAAAATGATTGAAGTTTAAGACAAGCCAAATAACACCCTTCAGCTTCTCCATAATGAAAGTTGAGGTCACTTGTAGTTCTGACTGTTCACATGCTTTCATTATTTCCCTAAAACAACTGTAAAGTGCTCTTGCCCACCACAATCCGAAACGTCTTCCAGATCAGTTTCTACTCTCGTTTCGTTAGCAATCCGTGCATCTATAGCTAGATAACCCTGAAGAAGACAGCAGACAAGGGATCATCTCTCACACATGGCATATGTGATACTAGGCCAGCGTCTAGTCCTAGCTCACTGAGAAATAAAATTTGCAAATCTCTTGATAAGATAGTAGTCTTACATAAACAAATATACATGCCGAAGTTTTGGGAAATAATGTGGGCTTTATTTTCACTTTTATTTCATAGAAACGTTGGCAAGCAATTCGATTCTATCTCAACTTAGGTGCTTAAACCTACATGAATGTTGGAGAACAGAAAGCTGTTTAGGGGATGATCTGTGCCCCCCCCCCCAAAAACTCATTATCCAATGAAAAAGTAGAAGCTGAGGTACCATGTTGCTTTTCCAGAATAAATACAGTTTATAGACCTCGTATCCTTTGTTACAGAAAGGCTCTGTAAATCAGTAATTTGCTGTGTCATGTGAAACCCTTTGCCATTGCCAGGAGATCCTAAACCACCAAAAAGCTTTAGCAAAAAATAATCCTGGAAGAGGAGACCAGCAAAAGACTTTCCACACCTATACTGAGCCTGGGAGCCACCCCTAAAAAGGAATTCATCTGAGAGAGAAGTTTACATGTTTTTAATGCTCTCGGTTTGCAGATGATGGGTCTAATTTAACCTAATGGCTAGAATTTACATGTCATGAGTTATATTGTCTCTTGTCTCATAAATAACATGCATTTTTTTGGCTGTCTTAACCAGCTGTCATTCAATGAATGAAGTTAATAACTCAGGTACCCGATACCAAAAATAAATCTCTAATAGAACAGAGAATTCAGAGATTAAATACAAGGCTGTATGTTAGGTAAATGGTAAGCCTCACATTTCAGATGGGGGGGGCCAAGGATGGCTCCGCGGATAGGTAGTATTGAGACTGTAACCTTTGAGAAAGAAAGTTAGCTTAGCTCTCTCACATAAATTAAAAATGCCAGCTACATTAGAAGTGAGTCTTCTGCTTTGTGAAACTCAAAGACTTGCTAATGCATGAAAGCAAAAAGTTTTCCAAATAAGTCACGTAGAGCTGTTCAGCCTTGGCAAAGCAAAGTGCACATGAAACACACTATCTCAGATCCTTTTGGTGAACATTCGACACCTAAGGGCTAAGAGCTGACATGTGAGGAAAAACGGGAATCTGGCATCATACAAATTTGCGCAGCCGCTTCTAAAGGCAGCTGGGTGATTGAAGTTTTAAATGCCCTGTGACTGAATGGTTCCAATTTTTTTTTTTTAATATCTGCCCTACAAAACACACCTGCGTTCACCAGGCAGCTTGTTAGAGCATACAATTGGAAAAATCAAAATCCACCAACATAATGGAATATGCTCGATGCTATAAAATACTAGATATCAGTGACAAAGAGTGAAGAAATAGCAACATGTGCTGACAGTAGATCTCTAGGATGCAATATTAAATTTGTTAAAAGTTGGGGGGGAATACATGTAATACACATGATACTGTTGATGTTTTTTTTAAAAAAAACATGCCATACACAATACTGTATAGTGTACTTCTGCAAATACCTTTCTGTGTACAATAGAAATAAAGAGAAGGTTTGGAAGGGTACTAACGAAGCTGTTTACAGTAGTCTGGTGGTGTGCGTTAGCTTAAGCTGTAATATTTGATGTTTTCGAATCTGCATTCATGTACTGTTTGTGTAATGACAACTTAATAAATTAGAAATAAAATGAAATAGAAAGTGTTTTCTTCTTCTCTACTAGTAATAGCTCCCACAATGTCCTGGCTCTCAGCTTCAGTCTTCCTGCTTAACTGCCGACCCAGGTTCGGTTTCCACCACCACCTCAGCCACACCCAACCCCACCCCCACCCAACCCACACCCAATGCTTGTATAGCATCCTCTCCTCTGGATTACTCATGGAAATATATAGTAAATGATAAATAATAAGTAACTGCTCCCCTAACATAATCTGTTCTTCTCCCTTCTCCCCCAAGCTGCCTCCTTCGCCTTCCCTGCCCTCCTGAACTGTCATGGCAGTGCTATCTGGCCTTGGCTCCTCCGCACACTGGAGCTGTGCTTGTCCAGGCCACCAGAGCCCCTGTGATGCTAAGTCAACTCCAGTGTTCCTAATGGAGAGCTCTGCCTATCTGCTGTTTACCGTTTAATTGATAACGGGATATCATTTTCTGTCTTTCACTTGGAATTTTCCTCACTTGTTAAGTCCTCTTTATTTTTAGGAGTGTCTATTTTAAATCTGATAGCTGGTTTTTGTTTGTTTGGTTTTTTTTGATGGTCTTAACTCAATCTGTCTTTTAACAAGTAAATTTAATCCATCTCCATGTATCATCATTGCTGGCATGTCTGGAGTATTTTGCCCATCTAATTTCACGTTTTCTCTATGTAACACTTGGAGACCTTCCTCATTTTCTCCTCTCTTAGCCTATTCAACTGATAATTTTTATTAATTGCTTACCCTTTTTGTTGCTGGAAAGTTCTACACCCCATGCTCACCACCCTAATGGTCATTTTACCGTTTTCTTCATCACTGATTTGTGGAGATCCCTAACTATATGCAGAAGAAATAGTCTAGCAAATACCCATGTAGTCCCCACCCAGTTTAAACTATTTCTGCTCATGACCAATCTTAGATCTACCAATGTTTCTAGCTGCTTCTTCTATGATCCTCGGGATTATTTTGAAGAGAGTCTAAGATGCCCTAGGCTCCACATTTACTTCAGATAGAGATTCTTTTTGTAACCATAACATTGCACCACCTCAAAACAAGCAATCCATTTGTCTCACAGAAAATCTCCTCCGTGTTCACATTTCCCTGCTTGTCATATTTTCTTTTGTAGTTTTTTTTTAAAATCTGGATCAAAGGAAGGAGTGACTGCATGTTATAAGTGGTTGGCACGCCTCTAAATTCCTTCCTCAGGAGAATCCAAGTTTGTGCGCCCACCCTCCGAAATTCTCTAATACTCTGTGTTGTTTTCCCGCAGCTGTCCCTGGAGCCCAACTTTCCCCGGCAGCATTTTGTAGTCCTCTGTCCCCTGTATTTCTAAATCAGATCTTAGAGTCTAGACATTCACATTCATATTTTGTCAGAATTGGTTCAAATGTAATGCTTGTTGTATGCTTATGCCTGATTGCCTCTACTCTGTGCTATTGGCATCGCTGAGAGTCCCTGTGCCTGTGAGTTCTGTTATACTTTCTCTCACGCTAGTGGGACACTCCTGTCAAGAGAAACTTATCCTTATCAACTGGCCACTCACCCTGGTATACAGTCACCCTAGTATACAGTCATCACCCTGGTATACAGTCGTCACCCTGGTATACAGTCGTCACCCTGGTATACAATCGTCACCCTGGTATACAGTCGTCACCCTGGTATACAGTCGTCACCCTGGTATACAGTCACCCTGGTATATAATCACCCTGGTATATAGTCACAGTCACCCTGGTATATAGTCATCAGAGAAAGGCGGGGACTTTATTCCTTCCTTTTACTTCCAGGTTCAAAATAATATATTGAGTTCCTGCAAATGGATAAAAATAAATATGCAAAGAACTGGTACCTTGCTCTGTTGGAAGATAAAATGAGTTCATTTGGCATGCCAAATCTCAGGTGATTTTTAGAGAGAAGCCAGGCAATAACTAAAGAAAAGTTGGTGATAAAAAACACTGGTCTATGCACTGCCGAGTCAGGGACTGAGTAACTTCTGAGTCAGTAGGACTGAAGCAGGAGGATTGCCGTGGGTTGAAGGTCAGCCCAGATTACAGAATGAGGCCCTATCTCAAAAAGAAAAGTAGGGGTGTGTGATGGTTTGGATGAGACGTCCCCCATAGTCTCTGACATTTGAATCCTTGGTCCCTAGTTGATGGCACTATTTGGGAAGGCTTAGGACATGGCCTTGCTGAAGGAAGTACATCACTAAGAGCAGCTTTGAGGTTTCAAAAGCCAGGAACTGTTCCCAACTGGGTTTCTCTTAGCTTGCTGCTTGTGGTTCTGAGATACGAGCTCTCAGCTGTTCCTGCCACCATCCCCTGTTGTCACGGTGATGGACTCATCCCTCTGGAACCCTAATCCCAAAGGAAACCAGTTCTTCCTTCTGAGTTGCCTTGCTCATGGTGTTTTGCCACAATAGAGAAGTAGCTAAGACATGATGGGAAGCTCACATCTGGGCACAGCAGGCACTGCTTTGAAAGAAACAGCAATAGCTAGACACAAGGCAGGGGGCGCTGTCCAAGAAGCTGGGGGGGTCACTGCACAGACCAGCAGCCTACTTTACATGTTTATCTGCTCCCGTGTGGTGACTGAACCACGAAGCTTGATAAGAAAGGGGCAAACGACCTTCAACGTCTGCAAAGTATTTCTAACCAAGGCAACGAGGGTACCTTTGGGCTCTGTGGCCTTAGTGAAGCAGGGCTCCACGAAGACCAAGTTTTCAGCTCTTTGAATTTTCCCCAGACACAAGGAAAAGACTCAGTGTTGAGGCATTAGCTTAATAATGTAGATTATACACGAACCTAGGTCTGTGTGGTCTTCCTCCTCTCATCCACTTTTCCTCGCTGCCATTGGCTCCCTTTTTCCCAACTCTTCCATCCTGCTCCTCCCCATAGCCAGCTATCACTAAAACAGTCACTGAGAAAACCTGAAAAGGAGTCCATTTTCAGATGGACATCTTCAAGACGGCTCTGTCTTATTCTCTAGAGAGAGTGAACACGCGGCGTTCCAAACCTGTGAGTCTTGGCTTTTTCACTAGTGACCTAGCTTCCAGAACCTACCCCCGTTCAGTCAGTAATGGCTATGGTGGCAGCTGACTCGTCTAGAAATGAGGCTTCCTGGGCATCCTTGTCTCGGATAATCACACCTTCAAACAAGCTTCTGCCACTTGGTTCCTGACAGCCAGCCCAGAGGGCATGGGCACAGGAGACTTGGCGTCATGTGTGAAACCTACAGATATTTAAAAACAGCAGCTTAGGGATCTTTAGGCAGGAGAGCATCAATGTGTAAAGGCAGAAGCTTAGCGGTATGAGGCTAACTAGAAGTCCCCTTTGCCTCTTCATAGCCCTCAATAGCACACTGGCCTCAGAATGCATTATCTAGGGTCCTACTTTCAGATTTATAGTTGTTTATCCTGGCACTGAGTGCTCATATTAATAAGTGAAGATTCACATGAACTGTATACTTTTTTTATCCTTAAGTTTTCTGATCATTAAGTAGAGGGGTAATAACTAACTCACAGCCTTGCTGTAGGGACTAGATGTAAAATATTATAAATCACTTAACTGGCACATGGTCCCTCATGTCCGCTCTTGCTTTTCAGTT